TGAACCACAATAAAGTTGAGCACCGCATATTCATTCGGCCGAGCTTGTAAACCATTCAAAGCCGCCTTCACCACCTGTGAGATACTTGCCGCTAGCCACGACTGAAATAAAGCAGTGAGGCAAGCCGCCTGTCCCGCCCCGCTCGTATCCTTGTGTTTGACGCAGGTTGAGGCACTGACTAGGCAGATCATGCTAACAATTTTTAAAGTGACGACTTAATCAGATGGACACAGCACTAATTCAAACCGAGGCAAACGTCTGCAGAGCGTACACAGGTGCCTTGCCACATCATGTTGCCACTAAGCCGATGGGAAACGAAGATGAGAGGAGGCCGAATCCTACCAAGCTGTTTTACCGGCTGTGAAACAATTTGGCGCGGGCCGTCTACCAAGCACACAAGTGCTCCGTCAGCCATTTTGCTAACAAAGAACGACGAATGACAGGCGGAAGACCGGAGGATGCCTGCTTATTGCGGCGTAACAAGGCGTAATGCAACCCATTACCTTAAGTTAAGATGCATGCAAAATATTCTAAAAACGACCAACAGTGGGTGGTAAAAAGAGAGAGAATGGATCAACCAAGAGGCCAGTGTCATTTTTGATGCCACCATGCTCACGCTTTTGACGGTAGAATCTCGTGTTCGGTGTTTTTTTTTCAAAATCCCAATATCCGCGAATTTCCAGATAATTTACAGCGCACTGTGTGCCGTACAAACTCGTGATGCACTGCGAAATTGTGTCCGGTACATTTCCCGATGTTTTGAAACTTAACTCGCGCCTCTGCCTGCATTGGGTGCCGAAATGTGACTCAAAAAGGTAAACCAGTCAAAAACGATCAAGCTCAGATTTCCAACTCGTGCGCACGTCACCATGTGCCACCACAACGTTACGTTCCATGAGCGGACATGACTACTAGTGGCGCCGCGGCCGACCCTGGTGGCAGGATATTGAACTAGTGTGTTTACCGCAGTGTTGCTGTCTCAGAAGTAAAATTTTGTGTTTGCGCGTACGCCGTGTGCCATGGAGTCATAAATCATCATTTGCTAGTCCATATTTTGGTGCAGAATTTAATTCTTTACATGACGGTAATAAAAATAGTTGTTAAGCTTTGAGCATGTCGTCGCCAAAGTAATTAAATCAGAGCAATGTCAAGGGGGTTGCCACGTGTAAACTCAATTGCCGCGCGAAGCGCCCGCGCGGAACATTCAAATAACGCAGCACCAGGTCGTTAAAATATCATATCATTTCATTGCTAGGGCGGATAATGATAGACAATTTAATTCCCCGTTTGATGGTGTTACACATCTCCTGGTGTGATTTAGTGTGTCGTCGCGAATTTCAGTTAAACTAATGGATATCACGGATGTCACCTGCGCGCAGGACGTCCGTGATGTGGCGTGCGCGTATTCTGTCCTTGTCAGTGACAGGACAGTCGTGCGCAGGTCGACGCTTGTCTACAAGTTTTAACATTCATGCATAAATGCAGAAATGTATATGCGTGAATGGTTTTATGCATAAACATGAAAACGGTCAGGTGCAAATGTGTTTACGCATAAACGTATGCATTAATGTGAGCTGCTTCACTACAAGGATAACGGGGCCCTGGTATCAGCAGCTGATTCAGCAGAACCAGAGAATGTGAAAATTAAAATATGTTCGGCATAGTCACTGCACTTTGCTGCCCCGCCCCCCCCCCCCCTCCCCCCCCCCTTTGCACAACGTGTCCGAATCTGGTCACGGCGCCGCGTCTGTCCGCGCAGAAAATTGAAGGTCTTATTTCATCAATATGACGCTTAGAATATAGCAAGTGTAACTCAGCACAACCGTAGAATCAACAGACATAGCAAAAATCCAGGTTCTGAACGAAAACCAGTAAAAATAACGAGGTTTCTTTATTGCACACAAATTTGAAGGCCAACCATAACAGATGGCGGCGGTGCCGCCGATACCACGACGACCCGCCTACACGCGAGGGCGACACCACGGCTTCGGTGGCTGTCCAGCTCGGTCGCACCATCTTCCATGCGGCTGGGTCACTGGCCGCGTCTCCGTAGAGGCAGCGCTTCCTCGCAGCGTTCTAGCAAGTCTGCCTGCGATGTACAGCCGCCACGGCACACTCATGCATTGGACGCGCCCTTCTTTGACCCACAGAGCAGGTGATTCAGGACCCTTGCTCGCCTCAAAAGGATCTGCTTTGGGGCCTGTTTGAAGTTTGCTGCACTGAAGTATGTTGAGGTCACGAAATGATTTAGTTTAAATTCATTTTGTTGTTCAAAGGTACCTAGGCGACCCACACGTGAATTAATTTCATGACAGTGGTGGCCAAGAATACGGAGATAGGGCGTAAGGGCTCCAGTTCTGCGCTTACGCCACATGGTCACTACCAGCTCATACCCATGTTCTCTCTCCTTTTCTTTCATCACATCACCCTCCATCACATACTCCTTGTTCTTTCTCATCTTCCCCACCCTTACAGTGCACTCAGAAGGCACTACTTTATTGGTATCTCCCACTGCACTAACACAACGCACATGCCATCCTTGCTGGTGTGTCTCACTGTTATTTAGGATAGTGTCCACACTTTTGCCCACAAAATAATGAAGGTCTTTAAACAGAACTGGCACACTGACAGTACACCTTGCTTTTTGCCCAAACAGGAAAACAAAGAGCCTTGAAGATTTTGGTGTTTAAAGACTGAGCAACAAGAGCAAGAGATGATTTGATAACTGTATTCTGAGGTGTCCCATAGAACTTCTGGGTGCTGATACTCTTCATCTGAAAAGGATGGAAAGTGGTTCAGGAAAAAACAAGCATTAAATGAACATCACTCAGTCACTCTGTACCACATGAGCTGTGAGATGAAAATGGTAGTCATGTTTAAGGTCATGCAGGAGAGCAACTGAAATGCAGTGGAACATGCAGTTGACTTGGCATTATGCTCTGTCCAGTATAACATCATTGAAAAGAATGAAGTTAATAAAATTGAAGGAATTAAGAAATGAATAGTGTTTGTCATCAATAAAATCCAACAGAGTGAAAACTGGAAATGTCACAACACATGGTGATACTTTTGCCATGATACACATGATACCTGATTTTAATTGTCTTTAAAAAAAACTGGCAGTTCCCATGGATAATCAAACACCAACATAGGTTTGTGTACTGGCCAGAAGAAATGTAGCATTCGGTTGGGTTGGGAAAGGCAAGCCTGACACAAGGCTCAGAAGCATGATCATTACAAGGACATTCAGTGGGCAATACTCCCTCAAAAGAGACCAACTTCATCCTACTGCAATGCAGCATTCAGCAAAATGTCAACATACATTGTACAGTGGTACCAAAGGTGCTCAAATGAATAAGGCCTTGTCAAACAGCTGAATGAGGTCAACAATGCAGTCAGCAAAAGGCATCCGCCGAATGGCATGGAGGTAAGATCAATGTGCAGACTGTTTGGTGCATGGGTGTGCCAGCATAGCCCAGACCACGCTGGGCTGAAGATCCTGATGTTTTGTTTGCATATGATCACCATCACAGCGTTATGATTTCTTCAGTATTTCTATCAGACTTACTTCCCGCATGGCGAGGTCAGAATTCTGAGGGTTTTTATAGGTGCTGATACCATGGGAAACTTGTGCTAGAAACCTCAGGCTGCATAGTATTGATACTTTTGTCAAACCTGTTAAAAACATTTCCATGCAGTATGCAAAATTATAATTCATGAACATTCATTGCTTATTGGGGGCTATTAACAAGAACAGGCAACAGCTGAATCCCAGTCATTGCTCCTGCATATAAGTGTGCTGCTTCTGAAGCCAGAAGTCAGGTTCAAAAGGATTCAGATGTGTAGACCCTAGAATAATGTACAAGATCAATTTAGTTTTAGATGTGGGCATGACCAGAAAGTGCAGGAATGTAGATTGTTGCCATGCGTATTGGTATTATGATCAGGTGCTGTATGTTGCAAATCAGACATTGCTAGCCTTTATGGTGTAAGCAAATGGAACACTCTCAATGTATGCACATGTTCGTTAATGCAGGCATACAGATATGCTGTTAGGTGTGAGATCCAATTGATGCTTAAAAGAAATTCTCAATTTGGTTTTGTTCGCAAAGATCTTGGTTCATCAAACTAACTGATCTAACCTCATGCAATTCCACGGAAGTATACCATGTTTTCACCCGTGAAAAAAATGACGAGGAAGATTGGATGATGCATCAGGGTATCGAAGCAGCATTCATGTGTGACACAATACGCACCTTTCACCCATCTTCGCCAGACACGTCCTTCCTTGCTGCTGAAAAACCATGTCCACACCTCCAACGCGCGAAGCCGGAGCGGCGGCAACTTTATACGGGACGCACAAAGCACCCGCCGTTTCAGCGCCAATTATTAGCAACGTCTGTCGCAGGCGCGCCATACTCGTATAAAATGCTGGGAATATATAAACGTCTTGATAATTATTTTCTTTCCTTATGCGCCCCAATGTCCGCAGGTATACAGCGTTTGAACCGTAACGAACTTCTTAACACCCGACTTCCCATTCGATTCGTTATCGATGTGTACAAATTGTACGTCGCTCCGCCGCCTCGTTGCCCATATATGGCCACCGTTTCGAACGGCTGCTCGAACATTTTCCGCGGGCCACATTTCCTGGCGTTACTCATGCAAATCCAACGGGCCCGAAGACGGCCCCTCTGGCACATACCACGCCCGAACATTAGACCATTACACGCATAGAGAGAGAACGACAGCTGTTGCGCGCTTCACAAGCCTGCCTGCCTGTGATGCTACCTGCCGCGGCACACCCACACCCTCCGGCCCCGGTCACCTGGTGAGGCGAGCACTCAGGTCAGAGCCGCCTGTGACGCCGCCTGCGTCGCCAACACAGACGGGTGAGGCCCGCCATCGGTGACGCTGTCTGCTATACCAGCCACGGACAGACAGGACCCGCCTGTAACGCTGTCAGCCGCAGCATACCCACACACCCCGGCCCCAGTCACCTGGTGAGGAGAGCGCGCGTAGGTCGACCCCGGCGTCACGTCCGTAGAGAATCAGCACGGTGAGCGAGACGACGCAGGCCAGCAGACCGGCCGTCAGCGGCAGCTGTCGACGTGCGAGACGCATGACGGGCGCGTCGCGATGCCCGCAGCCGCCGCCGCCGCCACAGCACGTGTGACCGGCGGCTGCTGGCACCACCTTCGACGCAACGCCAGCCCGATAACGCTATCGTATGCACACGGCGAACACGATTATTTCGTCAGCAGATACCACGTCCGCGCTTTTCCAACCGTGAGCTGAGCGAGCACGCAGACGACAGACATGCGATGCGCCCTGACTGTCCACTTGCAGACCGATTAGTTGTGGTTACCTAGGCATTCCTCTAGCGCTATCGTCATGCCTTATACGTTGACGGTTCAATATCTGCGAAGCAAGAGGTACAAATGTGCGGTATGCAGAGGTGACCGGTGTGGGGCGTCCATGACGCATGACGCGTCATGAAACACTTCTCGTTAAAGGGAATGTTCCATATTTGAAGATGTTGAGATAAGCATGAGATATGATCGGAAAAGCTTACTTGTTATTGTTGGTAAGTTTTCAAGGTTCAAAAACGAACGTAAGAAGAAAAAGTTCAGTTTGTAAAAATGCGCCCCATTACGTCATTGCTTGATGGCGTCATGGAATCGTTTTATGACGACAGCAATGCCTGGCAGCATCTGGCAGCCAGAGCTAAAGAATGCCTCGAAACGTACGAAAGCTGACGCCAACTGGCCATTCTCGTCGCGGGCGCTGCGCTGCGTGGCGGGTTAGCAGTGTATGGCTTGTTTGTGGATTTTCTGTCTTGGTACTGGTCATAAGATAAGCTTTGGTGGGCTGTTTGGCATACGCAGCGTAATGATCGCCAGCGTTTATGGCAGATTGCTAATACCAAAGCACGATATGCTGTGGAGGCTGTCATATAGCGCCATGAATCTTTTGCCGAAACCTGCCAAGGACTGTTGAGGATGTCAATACTGTATTGCCGATTTATCCTCGCCTGCAATGCTGAAGTCCTGACATGGATATCATGTGATGTGTACAGTAGTTAATTTTTATTATTGTAGCTGGAAATGCAGTTGCATGCAAAAATCAATAAATCTGTAACATTGTTCCGAACTGATTGATGATTCTTATGATGAAGATGATAAAGTTGAGCTACCAATAATTTTATTTTTATTTTTGCTTAGGATTGTTAATGCAATGACTAGCTAGCCCTGATATAACCATTGTGGTGCAACAGCATTCTCGCTGGTGATTGTCCTTTGGCTTTGTGAAGTCAGCTGTTGCCAGCCATCATGTTGCCAGTCGGCCACGCCGGCGCAGCAACCGAGGCCGGTGGCTGAGCGATAAGGGAACTCCGGATCAGGCGGGTGTTCCAGGTGCAATCGCTGGTTGGTGCGGACGCGCAACGGGAGAACATCGTCCCATCTTCGGGGCGAGCTCACTGGATGCCGAGGACACCGGCTGTTCGAGACACTCCGTGCCGTGGCCTCTCAGGGCCAGGGAGAAAGGCCTCTGAGTTATCAGATGTTATAGGTAATTAAAACGGACACTTTTGCGAGCCAGTTGGCGACACAGTTGCGAAAATGAAAGCAAATTACAACGGACCAGACCGTATTACAACAAACCATCCCAGCTAGACGAAATTCAAAGCTCAATATTGACCTGTACTCACTAACGCTTGTGGCGTGGGCATGTGCAGAACACATGTCGAAACGTTGACGTTTCGGTATGTGAGAAAGTTGAGCCACAAGATGTAGCCAAAAGTAGTGGCTTTAATCAGGACAATTTAGCAGGTAACATAAATATTCTACAAACTATACCATATCAGTGCTGACGTCACATATCAGTGGTGAAACTGTGCTTTTCCAATGCCGCTCAGATCAGTGCTTTTCACAGATTTCTCAGCCAAGATTCACTTCACATAATAAACAGTATTGCATACTAAATAGATATGCTTATTGCTAACCGTAAGAATTGTGCCTGGCCAAAGCATCTTGCGACGGACCCGATCAGCTTGCTACGCCACGTTCTAAAGCGTTGTACCATTTGAGACAGATGGGCTCGAACCAAAACTGGGCTTGGAAAAACGATGTATCAACTGTGGGCGTATCTTGGAATTGCACGGCGACGGCTGGCGCGGTGTGTTGCCCGACGACGCACTTAAACTTTTCCGAAGCATTTCCATGGTTTAGGGCCGAAGCCACGGAAAATGATCGCGGAGTTCATGGTACTGATAAGTGGACCAACTGGTTGAAATTGGCCTGCGGGCTACGTATGAACACCATCATATGCGTCGGGGGTGTATTAAGTAAAATGAAACTCACCGTGAACAGCCATGTATAGAAGAGTATGTTGCACTGCCTCGATGCACTGCTGGCCTTATATTTGCATCAGACTGCTACTGTGCATCGACTACGCATATAGCCACTTGTGAGGGACTCTGACTCGATTAGTGAAACGAGCTTGCACCTTGTGAACGTATGTAGCGCGCAGCATACTGACTCGATTAGTGAAACGAGCTTGCACCTTGTGAACGTCTGTAGCGCGCAGCATACCTGTACGTTATATGCCGAACTACAACAATTTGGACTTAAAATGTAATAACACGCATTATCGCCTGTGTGGACAGGACTTAACACGCATTATCACCTGTGTGGAGACTATAGCGTGTGCTACTGTAAGTGTACAGCTGATGTTTGGGTATTTCATTCAGCAGCATGGTATGGAGGCAGACAGCTGGAGGAGGTAGAGTGTGGAGGCAGACAGCTGCAGGAAGCAGAGCGTGCAGACAGACAGCTGTAGGAGACAGAGTGTGGGTGCAGACAGCTGGGGGAGGCAGGGTTTGAAGGCAAACAGTTGGAGGAGGCAGATCATGGAGGCAGGCAGCTGGAGGAAGCAGAGCGTGGAGGCAGACAGTTGGATGAGGCAGAGCGTGAGGGCAGACAGCTAGAGGATGCAGAGTGTGGAGGCAGACAGCTGGAGAAGACAGAGTGTGGAAGCAGACAGCTGGAGTCCGGGGGAACAGTGTGGAGGCCAACTGACACTTACCGCTGCGTGACGCGGACCGAAGACGGCATGTGCACATTACACATGTTCTTTTACACGGGACAGCACGCCCAAACCAGGCGCAATATTTAATACATTAGCCCATGAAGACGACATCTCAACTGACACCGCGCTCAGCTACAGTGAAACTGGGAACGACGTCCGCTTATCCGTATTCGCTCAAGCCACACTGAAAATCAATGCACTTCCTGTTTGTAGCTTTGTGCGGCCTATGTAGGTGATCTTCGGCGCATGCGCGTGTTCCTGCACACGCCAGACCCGCTATTAGCACCAAAATCGTCCGACGCCCTCCTGCATGAAACCTCGCTCAACTGCATTAGACATGACGCCAGGGCATCAAACAGGGCGCACCTGCGTTAGATGCTGCGCGACCGGCGAGCACGCGCGTCCCGCACAGCACGCTCACGTCAGCTATGTCGCGCGTCAGCACGGATGGGCGGCCGCGTCAGGTCAGCCAGCGGTGAGGCTAACGGCGCCGGTGAACAGGCAGAGCCCGTCCTCGCCGGTCGAGTGACGCTGCACGACCTCCAGGCTGTCCACGTGCGCCGTGCCGAAGCCGAAGTGACCCAGCTCCTGGAGGGCACCGGGGGCCCGGCCACGGGCGCGTCCCTCGCCGGTGGGCGGCGGAGGAGCGGGCGGGTATGGACGCGACGAGTGCCGTCGTCTCACGTCCCAGAGCAGGAGGATGGACCGACCCATGGCCCTCACACCCCACCCCACCAACACGACAGCAAGGAGGGCGGCCAGAGGACGAGACCAGACTGATCTGGCTGACTGGGGAAGGCAAGTACCGTAGACGGCGAAGGCCAGCGACGCGAGCGATGAAACAGTGAGGACGAGGAAAAATCAGTCACGTGTACATGCTGAATCATCTGGATCGTTCCGTAGACTACACATAACAATTTGTGACTCACGTGGCAATGAGAGACCCACCACGCGCTATGCGTCACCTATAGCTGTACTGCCAGGCGGCGAGCTCAGTTGGTGCTACGTTGATTGCGACCGGCAAAAACTCCTTAGAAACAAGTGGCATCTAGCCACCCGACGGCACCCAAAAAGGCGTACTTTGCTCATCCGTGTGGGCAATGACACGGCCAACGCAGCTTTCCAACTGTGCGTGGTGTGCTAGTCCGAGCGGACATCGTCATTTGACAGGAATACCACTGTACACTAGCGTGTGTCATCGAGGGGGTGAATCTCTTGGAATCAGCTGAGACAAAGTTTTTTCTTGGCACACGGATTAACGATAAACTTTCCGGTCTGTCGCACTCCACCAATTTTAATATTCGTGAGGTGAGAACAGCTTTTCTTTTATATGCCAAGAAAACCGTATTCGATACTAGCGCCACCTGTTTTACGCTCTGGGATCATCCTCCAACGAGCTTCAAAGATGCCACTTTCCACACTACTGGAACTTGGTGGATTAAGTATGAAATAGCATGAAGATCACCAGAAAAAAACACTGCCAAACAGCTCATAAGATGACTTTTTAGTAAAAAGCATTATTTTTTGGTAAAACCCATAGCTGTGTAGTTATGGGAATGCTCCAGCAGACCGGGTAAACAAAGTTAGGTTCAAGTTTGTTATTGCTAACGCATCATTGTGATGTTGATTTGCAATTCATGTGCTTTTTGCGTGGTAGATATGGGTTTATTAGTTTAGTTTTGCCGGTACTGAAATATTTTTTTGCGAACAATTACTTGCATAAGCATGTCGGAGGCTACTGTGATAGGCCACCCGGCTCTTCTGCCCCACCACCAACTGCCGACCACGGAAAAGCCTTGAGCTACATCAGGTGGCCGAGCGAATCGAAGAGGAATCTCACTAATACTATCTTCAAGACCGCCACGGTAGAAATCAGGGTACTGTGGACCAACGAAACGATCCCTGCTCGTGATCTAAAATACGTGACGGAATTGATTGGGAGGATTTCATATCATCCCAACAGAGCTGTCAGCAAGAAATCAAAGATAGAAAGAGAGTGACACAGCAACGCTGCCGCCGCGAAATTCAACAAGCTTCTTGATGTCGCGAAATACAAGTGCAAGCCTCAGTGCAACTTTCCATGCCCAGTTGCCTGTACAGTGTATCAGGAGGAGGTTGCCATGAACGACTAGTGCAGGCACCGGAAGATTACCCTGGGGTCATTTGACCGGGATACGATTGTGGCTAGGGAGGCTCGCGAGGTGCGAAAGATGGTCATACAACTCCAGGGGCGTCGTGGCTCGGCTGCCAGTGGGGCGGTGTCTGCTGCTGAACCTGAGTCGCCTTCCGCGCGGAATGCTGAGCCAGCGCTGGCTGCTGAGCCAGCGCTGGCTGCTAGTGCTGACCCCGAGCCTGCTCCGGGACCAAGTGGTCTCAGCGCTGGCGAGTCAGCCGAGAGTACGGATTCTTACGCGGTTCCGTACATGGTAGAAGGTGGCGACGACGCCGATTGTTCGTTGGTCAAACAACTTGGTTGGTTGGGACCACTGTCACTGTCGATTATAACGTTCACGATCTGACTAACATCGCTCTGGCGATTGACAGCTACGGTGGCTCGAACCGGGCCACTGCTGCAATCATCATTGCCTTTCAACAAGACAGCAGAGACGGACTGGCTATTGAAATAAGAAATCGTAGATCCTAAGAAGATCTGCTGCGCAAAAGACAGAGCGAGAAAGGAGGCGGCTCGTTAAAATTTTGAAGCAATCCACGAGTAAGGTTTGACATCCTCTAATCCGACGGCCGTGAAGGCAGGAGCTACATGAGCCACACGGAGCCAGACGAATGCCGTCGAAAAACACGTGGTTGTCATCACTGGGGCAGACAGCCGCTACGTGACTCATGTTACGTCCGAGTTCGGCCGCGCCTGTACTTGTTCAACAAGCTACACTCCGCTAACCCACAGTGCGAGGGTCACATCAATATGCTCGCCTGCGATGGCACGACCGTCAACACCAAAATGATAGGCGACGTGTTCCGGCTGTTTGAGCTGGCCACCGAGTCACCTGTACACTGGTTCTTCTGCCAGCTGCACGGTAACGAGCTGAGCCTTCTTCATCTGCTGCTCAGCTTGGACGGCACGACCACGGGATATAAATTTTTCTGGACCAATCGGCCAGACCTGCGCCGGAGAGGTGTGGGAAAGGGACGTTGTGGCATGTAAGCCTAGGTCGGGGCACGTGCCAAACCTGCCGGTCGACCTGATTCGACAGCTGAGCACCAACCAGTAGCTGTTGTACCTTCTGACCGCCGCCATTCAAAACAGCTCTGTCCGAAACGGACAGCCCAGCGGCGAATCGGACCATGGAACCATGCCAGGCAAATATGAAAACGTATTTTCTTCGAATTTATAGCAATGAGGGTTTGAACTTCATTAAGTATCAATCGATATTTCATGTGCTCATTGCTGAGCATATGCTTATTATCATACTTTGTGCCGTAGTCTGCATATCATTTGCTGGTTGGTTCATGTTTATTAGCATGCTTGTTGATATGTATTCCGTCACATTTAAGGATTCTGGATATCGACATAATTACATACACTAAAGAGGCGCAGTAATTTTTGTATGATCTAATGCTCAGTTCGTAGCGAATCGTTCTAGTAGATTCGCTTTTGTTTTCAGATGATTGACACTAGCCACTTGCCTCTATTTTGCATCTCTACTGAGACCTCCTCCAACAGCGCTCTCAAGGAACTCGTCCAGTACGTGGTCAGCCACCACGTGCCGGTATAGTCTGCCATCTCGCAGAACAGCAGCTGCGACTTTCGCTAACGCAACTTGTTCCGAAGCACTGCGCTGCTCCGCGACCTGCCGCAGCACACACAAGCCACGGTGCGGCCAGTCCTCCAGCGTAGCGGGTACTGGGTCCGTCCGGAACAGCTGCTGCTGGACATGGTGTGCGATGAGAACCACGCGGTCCGCGAACAGATGGTTCCGATGGTCGCGCCGCTCGTGAGCAGCAAACCGAATGTCCTCTTCAGTCCAGGGTCTTCGTCATCTCAGCGGCAAACTTCGAGGCCGTGAGGAACGCCGAACTGATTCCTTGGCACGGACCAGTCACGCAGCCTCCAATGCGAGTCCCCAGGGACTGCGAACTGCGGAACAAAGTGCAGGCGCCGCTGGCCATCTTGCACTATCTGGTTCACGCTAGGAGTGCGACGCAGCGCCGCACTGCCAAGGATGTCTGCGGCTGGAGCTGGAGCTTCGGCAATATGTGAAGCCCAGCCACGACGGATTTCTGCTGCCGTGCGATCTTTGCCAACACGCGTTTTGGGTTTCCAGTCTGTGAGCAGTTGCTGCTTGGGCCGATGCATCGAATATATAGACTCGGCAGGGAGCAAGATGTGCATGGGTTCACCCTACCGCCCCCCTTACATCTGTGGTATAGGCTACAGAACTTGCTGTGTGTTTTAAGTTGTACACTTGACAAAACATTCTGAGTCATATGTTATACTTAGTTTTGTCTGCATCACGTGAGTTGTCCTAGAGAAGTGAAAGTCTACAGCAACACTAACCAGCATATTCGTACCAGTTTATACTCAGCCGCACACAAAGTTTCCGTCAAATGGCAATAAAGCGGACAATGTCTGATCCAAATATTAGACCTTAGACCGGAACACTCTCGTATAACGGCTTGAGGAGCGCTCGCTAGCATCGTTTCTATACGCAAAGGTGTTTTGTGTTGGTTGCCGCCCACGGTTTGATGTTACCTGCGGCTGCGGACGTCGCCCAGCATGGGGTGACTGCAACGCCGGGTGTCGGCTTACGGCGATATTTCGATCGACTTGCTGCTCACGAATTTAGGCTTTTGGGAAGAGCTTTTCCTATGCCGTGCACTTTTGGATTCCTGCAACAAATAATTTATTTGTCTCACTTGGTTTTGTTACTGATGACACACCCTGCCGTACACCGCACACATCACGCATCGATACCCGCTCTAGTATCGATGTCACTAAAGCCAACGTGCGGCGTTTCAGACACCACGAGCACACACGGCCTCCAGCCACCACATGCGCGTGCGTGGTTGTGCGCGTGACCCTCACCTCCAGTATCGCTCTGGCGTCGAACGTGGCCTTGCGCAGCTTGGCGTACTCCGGGTCCGACTCGTCCACATGCCGCACCAGGAAGCTGACGTTCATCAGGGTACAGTGCAGCTTCACCCTGCCGTAGTCCTCGTTTTTACCTAGGCCTGTCGGCAGGCGAGCCGCGGCCGTCACGGCGCCAGACGAGGACGCGTCGACCGCGCGGGAGCCCGCCGGAACCCTGATAGCGCCGTCGCTCGCCTGACGTCAGCGCCGTGGAGAGGGGCCCCAACACAACCTCGGGTGCGGCGCGTGCCGTGGTGTTCACGACAACGACCCGTAGAGCTGTCGGGGCCTTCCTGTGCGGGGTACAGACGGGGTAGGACAGAACAGCGATCAGTGGCACGGACAAAATTCGGAGAACTCAGAGCAGTCAGCAGTGAGGGCAGGGGCAACCGGTGATCAATGCCCGACACTTGCAGCCCGCTCCTTCTTGCGGATCGATGCGCACTGTCGAGATATAACCATAACATTAGCAACATCGTATTCCTAGTTTACATTTTATTTGTGAAAACAGGTCGAGGGTCCCTCTATGCATCGATGTCGAGACACGCAACACTGACAGGTGAAATGCAAGACAAACCTAGGTAATGATAGTTCCGGTGCACTACCACCGGTGGTTTCGAGCGCTGGAAAATCTACTGCACATTCATAATCGAGCGTTGGAAAACCAGTACACATCCATAATCTGCCAGAAGATAAGATCCGGTACGTTTGCACTTTGGTCTTGTTGGCTGTGCACGCTGCCACCGGTAACACCGTTTCTAGCGAACTTGCCGCGTGGGGTTCTTCAAAGCAAGCTTTGCTGTGCCTTGGTCATCTAAATTCTTATGGCTCGCTATCTGAGGGTTTTAAACCCGATGGACAGACCCCATCTTGACCATTCATTCACACTGAACATTGTCAGGACTTTATGCCGGATTGTGGTCCAACCGGCGATGGGAAGGTGAACGATGACCTGAGGCGACAGATGATAAGGACTGGCTGCACGAGCTCTTCACATCAGTTCAGCCACTGATCCGACATATTCTGGGGCTGTAGGAGAACGTAGATGCGTTGTTCAGAGCCTTAATGTGAGCGGAATTCGCTAGCCTATTACTTTGAGACTGCCCTGAGTTAGAAGCCGCCAGCTGACCGAATCGTACCAGATAAAGGAAAACGGAAAAATAATAATGGATACCGGATAACGGAAAAACAGCGTTCGAGTGTGGTGCAAATCAATGAAAAATGCTCAGTAATTAGAGGGCTAAAATATTTTTTTCTTTGATATATTGAGTTTCTCTTGCAAAATGCGTGCCGTCTCGGTGGCGGGCGCATAACACATTTTTGAAGCACTGTACGATGATCAGTATTCCCACAAATTTATTAACGGCACAATTTCCGCCATGATACTGCGTACACATAAATCTAAAAGCCAGTGAAACATCATGAAGGCAACACGTTTGCAACATGGTTGTAACGAGAACACACAGGGCTGTTAATTATTTGTGGCGAAAAACATGCAGCGACGCAGGCCGTGCACAGGATCAACTTAAACGTGTGCATGCCCGCTCCGGGATGCCATTACAGGAAACATTTTGAGAGTTCGTCCTTCGCTGCACGACATGCATGTCCTCACATCTTCACCTCTGTTGGCGAGGACCTCTCTGGGTCAGGAGGTGCTGTTTCTGTGTGTCAGTGGCCAGCAGCTCGCAGACGGCGGCCGACCAGCCAGGACCGCGCTGCGGGTGGCACCTGTCACCCCAGGTACCGGTGACGTCACCATATCAGCAGCGTTGCCTGCGGCCACACTGAATATGAAACGATTGATAGGCTGCACCATGCACACGTAATCTGTAACGTGTTAGCACGCTTCGTAAATGTAAAGGCTGGGAGGAGCTTTATGCTCAGTGAAAAATACGCCTCAATACAGCATTGCTAGTGATGGTGCACCAGTACATGAGGACGGCCACACGCTCGCCTATGGCCCGACTACCACCCGACAGGCTCAAATCTCACGCCTGTGTTCAAAGAGTAGCGTCATCATGCGACATGTCTAAATCAAAAAGAGACCCGAGCGTGTCTAATGTGTTGAAGGTCATAGGATTCACAACCTGCGTACCCCTTTGGAAAAACATACTTACAGCATAAAACATGGGCCATGTCAACCGAAAAACGAACCGCTAGGTTACAAAAGCAAGCCAAATAAAGTAAGGTAGCAAACGAGTGACAACAACAAGCCAGGAAAACGTTTTTCACGGAAATAAACGGAAACCAAATGAGATGACACCACAGCGCCATGAATTAAAAAAACAACCCTGCTTGTTGCGAAGATAAGGAATGGCCAACAATGGGAAAAATCGCTCACTCAAACGCACACCTGAAAAATTGTATTTCTTCAATCGTTTGCGAAGGGCTTGGCACCTTGTTCGCTTCATCATGGATACACTAATCTAGCCTGCTCCGTCAGCATCCTTCACTCGTTCGCGGCCGATGTTTAGTGTTGATCCCGCCCAATAGGTGGCAGTGACAGCCTGCGTTAGATGACGCTACGGGCGACAGGTGCAGCCCGAGACTGGCCAGCGCCAGCGGCCAGGACATCCCCAGCAGCAAGAATGACAAAGTGCAGGGAGAGCGTCAGGGGCAGCAGATGTGAAAGCCTTTCATACATCCTGTACGGAACGTGCCGAAGCATCCTCGCGTCGAAGCTGTACAACGCCATGCAGGTTTTCTTGCACGCCCTCGTTGCCATAGGTCCCACCACGGAGATGTTCAGTGCTATAAGCCTGTTGCTGTACACCCTCCCCCTCCCCTCCCCCCCATTAATCTCAGTGGCGTCACGACGCCGGAGTACGTAGAATAACGCCGCCGCTGCTGCCGCAGTGACTGAGGACAATTATGATGAAACTAAGCCGAACGGAGTCAGCAGTCTGATTTAAGGCTCGACTGGTTGAGCTTCTGTGACGCATGAAGACACGCAGACGACCTGATGTTTGTGGATCGCACTTAAGGAATACTCGGTACGAACTGTGCGGATCTCATCCCGCTCAGGCGAAAACAGCTCCTATCCGGTCGGTGTCGCTAATGGTCCACTTAAGGGATTTCCGGAAGATTGCGAAATTGCGACAGAAGTGTCCGAGCGTTATTTATCGCTTCTGAGAAATGTTGTTTACTGGATTTCCTCACCCTTCTTTTCGTTCTGATCTCAGTCCACAAGCAAGTGACCAGTGCTGCGAACAGGTTACTGGTCACAGCCTTGTGATAAAGTTCGTTCAACGTTACCTACATCTTACCGCCCTTGTTCCTGCGTTGCCTGATTTGACTCCTCCCCTCGCAACAAAGCATTACACAACTATTATCAACAAAATCAGATTCTTAAATAATACGTATGCGTTTGTATACCGGACGTAAATATACAAATCACGACGATGAACAGATGATCCTCAAATCGTCGATAGGAGTAAAACTTGATGGCTTCATATCATGGATACCAAATTTTCCTGAAGAGCATCTAGAAATTACAAAGCTAACAAGTGACAAAAACTTCCCTAATGTTGTGATTGATGCTTCTTTGATGATTGGTCCGATGCTCTCAGTGAGGCGTTAACAGCGCATGTTGCTGCAAGGATCCGCCCCCCCCCCCCCCCCCCACCCCTCCTCTGCCATCATCTTCGTGGGATCCACGCGTGTTACCAAGCATCACTCGGACATATCAGCTAACAAAACTTGAACTTTTTTTCTAAGATTGTGCGATATGTTTCACACGTGCAGATAGACTGCCCATAAACGAGACTGGCAGTTGGGCACTGTCTTGCGGCAGGCCTACCGAGAAAACTTCCTCGCCGCTGCGTGAGCCGTTACGCTCAAAGCAAGAGTGTTGGCCCCGCGGGTTATTCCCCACCGACGTCAGGTATGGTGCGTTACCACGAACTCCAGCAGGCAGATTCGCAGCAGGCGGCGATCTACGGTGTTGCACGCCCTAACGAAGTCGAATGTCACAAAGGACATATTTTTTAGCTGTCGTGCTTGCCAGTGGGCCGGGGTACCAGGCCTTGGGGAGAGGGACTGCCGCCCTGAATTTTCTGGATGAGGCAGCTGATACTGTTTCCTACTGACTGCCTCTCCCTGCAACTCGGCCAGCGAGCTGCGGTCACACCAGGTTCCTGTTGGTCACTGCGTGCCAAAGGCAGGTCAGGATGCACTCCGCCGGATCAGGGACAAGCAACAGGGCGATTCTGTCTCTACTGAATGCCGGCGCACACATGCGGGCTGAGGCTTGCTGACTGATGTGGCGTGCCAGCGTTTTGTGGCCTGGACATGTTGTTTCTTGCAAACACCGTGCCACCCCTGTGAGAGGTGCCTGGGCGCATTTTCGCAACACAATGCAAAAAAACATATATCATGAGTTTGTTAGAGGCAAAACTTATTTAATGTTCGTGCGTCAGCATCATTTCGAAATCAGCTGACAAACAATGAGTGCGGCGCATTTTTCAGAAACCTGTATGACCTGTTTGGATGCCTTTTACCGATTTTTGTATGAAATACTTTTAGCCACTTAACTTGTATGAAGTACTTCCAGGCCTTGTTTGATGTAAGTTGACTTACATCAAACTGACGTTTTTTCTGGAATATGTCTAAGTCAGTTAGATTACAAATTTGCATTCATTCACGAAGCCTTTATTCTGAATTAGCTATATAATAAGCCTTCTGAATTACTCGCAGGGGCACATGCTAC